CACACACACATCTGTTTAGCATGCAAACGGTCCGCGATTTAAATACGGGACGGACCAGTTGAGATGCGCAGTTGATAGGTTCTCATAACAGTGAAACTCTGTTCTACTGCTTCCTGGGGGTTCAAGATGAAATTCGAATGGTGGCTGATGAGAATAAATTAATAAATAACCCCTCTCTGCACCATACTACTCACAAGTAGTTGTGAATTAAATATACAAATGGAAGTGATTTGTCAGGGAATGAGAATCGCGGTGCAGAAATTCGGGTGGAAGGGTTTGTCTAGTGAGACGAATCAATGTAAGATTCTCTCGTCGACTCGTAAAGTTTGTGGATCTCACAGCGATAATCCACAATTATGCTTTTAAGAGAGAGCGACTGATTCCGGTAGGTCATCAGTCCCCCCCCCCTTCCGCCAAATGGACAGCGAAATTCCCCTGTGGGTGTGAGTGTCGCATGGCACGTCTACTATCTCTCGTCAGGATTTTAAGACTGAAAACCTGTAGGTATCGCTCAACCCGGGGGCATCTGAATTTTCACTCGTATTGGCCATTGACATTGAATATATATGAACGTGTGCATCGTACTCACCTCATTCACCACCTTGGCCAGTTCGCGAGATTTATCCCGAATCAGTCCGGTCTGTTCATCGCACAACATTTTGGCCTTGCACTCCATTTGTTTCAGTTGATGTATGCGTAAACTGTAATGCACGAATGAATACAATACCGGGAGAGGGGGGAGGGAATGAAACGATGACGCAATAACAACGACAGCAGGGCTCAACTTGCGAAAACCGCAAAATGCAGCGGTTTGATTCACTCACACAATCACCTGTGGCATGCACCGTAAACAGAAGGCGAATTAAACACATGCAACCAGGTCACTGAATATGGATTTTGGCTGCCGTGTAAACAAAGAATATTTCCTCGGGAATTCTGATCTTGTGTAAACAAAAATAATTGACATGTTACACTTTTCACTCTAACAGGACATTGAAACATTTTCCATGGTATTGTCGATGCATTATCACCCCTCACTGGACTACTTTCTTGGTTGAAATCGACTCAGGTGGTTTGCCGTTTTCACGTCTGAGAAGCTGTTATTTGAGGATATTCGTTGTACATAGAACAAAAGAAATATTGACTGAAAATATATCTATGACATACATACTTCTCTGCAGTTGATCTAAGTAAATCTTCCAATGCGCCCGTATGTTCGTGCGTGCATAGATTCAGAATGCTTCCAATCGACCTGGAGGCTAATGATAAGTTATGCAAGGCTGCTCTGTGATCCAATGGGCAATACGATTATCGATCCCCGAGATTCAATTCTGAATTGAATGGATACGCTCGCCTGGCCGATGATACCTTAACCTCCTCATTCTGTTTGTCTGCTTTGTACTTGAGGAAATTCATCCTTACTTTTATTTATCCACAAGACAATGCCCGGACGAAGAGAATGATATATCTAGAGATCGACGTCTGAAAAGGAGTAAACACGACTATACAAAACGAAATATCTAATTTGCAACAATTGGTTAATATTTTCGTGCTCATCTCTTCATCAGTAATCTCCAGCCTGCCAGTCTGTTTGTCTCTTATGTAGTGGTGAAATTAAATTCTTTAACTTACACTTAGATGCTGTAGGGATCGAACAACCGCTTCCTAGTGCGCACAAACTACTCACAAATGTCAGTAGGACCTCACAATAATAGAAAACTCTGTTGTTATACACAACCAAGTGTGAGACTTTCGAAGTCACATCATAATTAGATACGCGGTCTGGAAGCCAACAGCGTTCAGTTTAATTTTTTGCCCAATCGTTCAAAAACCTGGCGATTTTAGTAAACACAAGTTGGCGCTCGCGTGTTATTGAACATGATAGGGGTAAAGCATTTACCGTGTACGTAAATTCAACTGAAATACCGGTGATGAACAGGCTGACTAGTGGACACATTTCCGCTGACACGGAATTTCGTCTGGAATTCGTGGTTTGACCGAATTGATTTGTGGGAAAAATTGAAGAACCTATCTACAGGTAAATCGATGACGGCCCTGGAATTCACGAATTATTTACAGGGTTGTGGATAAGGCAGTTACTAGCAAGTAACCCACCGCTTAGACGTGCACTAGAAAACGTATACATGACACATGAAACCGAACGCATAGTCTCGTTAGACATCACTTATTCGCATCACCGAAAATCCGAATTCAGGATTAAAGTTTCCACGGATAATGCTAGTTATCAAGTTTTCCATGCCACGTGCCCATGTAACAAGCCATCTACAGTGAATAGATTAGAATAGAACAAATCGATAGGGATTGGGGCAACTATTTTCAGTCACTTGTTATCCCATCCACATCACGTGAGTTGGGGTAAACAGATCGGATGAGAAAAATTTCCTGAAAAATTTTCTGATAAAAGACAGTTAGTTTCCACGAAGTAGAATCATGTCAAAATGAATTGGTTAGGAAATGTGATATGAAAAATAACCAAAAAACAACAACAACAACAAGTATGTGGTTGTTTTTTTTAACAGAATATGGTATCCGATGTCCGGGGATAGCACGCTTGGACGCCTCGTTGAAGTTGCTTTCCCCACTGGATTTGGGTCGAAGGGTACCCGAATTAAACCAAGAA